GCATAAATATAGTATGGTGTTCATAAATTATAGCTGTGTTTATGTATTATTACATATAAGTACAAACACACACACGTACATACATACGTGACACATAATAGCTTTATAAAAGCATTCCCCTTAGCCCACAAGTCTTTACTTCTCATGTCTTCTCAGTAAGGAGAGCATCGTGACCTGTGGGAGGGGAATAAATAACACCTGAGCCATATTATCAAATACTCAAGTGTGCTATAATGGCTTAAACGTGGACTGCCATTTATTTATAAATTGATATTTTGAATTTAATTAAGTATTTACTCACATAACTTGTATTTGCAAAACAGTATGCAGAACCTAGTGGAATGCATGGTGCAGGGCTCACGTTTGGTCAGAAATGAGGCCGCAAGGTCTACTGCAGATACTGGACTTATGTTCGGCAGAAGTGTTAGACTGGAGGGAGCATTGAACATCCAGCATGCAGCCCCTAAGCAGTCAGGTAAGCCGGGGAGGTCTGTCGGTCCGCTTTTGTGCCTGCAGTCCCATACTGCCGACTCTGACCATCGCAGAGCGGTGGCAGCAGAGCTGCGCACGTGCACAAACAGAGCAGAGCCAACGTGGGAATATACTGTACTTTAAGATAAGGAGTAACGATTCCGTTTTCCCCTTTGATTCTGCATACATATATGAATATGATATGTTTCAGATGCAGATGTTAGTTAAATATAATTTCTAAATAGGACAGATTGCGGGGAGGTATTGTATGGGTGGTACGAACGATCAGATTGTTGGCTGACGGTCTGCAAAAGGGTAAATATGATAGTTACCTCTCACAAACGTTTGTTCAGTTTGGAGCAGGAAGAAGAGACCTTAGCTAGGGCTACGGCTGGACAAACACGTAGTGGGAAACAGCAAACTGAAAATAGCACGAACTAAGAAGATGAACGTTAGGAAGAGAAGGAGATGCCTGTGGCATGTCTGTGCGCAATAGCAGGCCCAAAGCCCGAGGACGTTGCTGAATTCCCGCGCGTCTCCTCATCCACCAGAGCATGTGTGCCTCATTTTAAAGCAGTGTTGTGTACACAAATGTTGTCTGAAAAGACACGTAAGCTGATCAGAATGTAAAACAAAATTGGTGGACATTTGGGGCATATCATCCACGCCAAAGGTATCTGAGACTATTTGAGAAATGACTAGGAAGGGCTGTGGGAAAGGGGGGAGGTATTTCACGGGAAGGTCTGATGTGTGTGCGGATTTTGTCCTGCAGGTGAATCCCAAAACAAAAATTCAGGCTAAAGTTTCTGAGGCAGGAGATTTCCTTTAGATCGGTGTTCTGTAGACGGGATTGCCATGTTTTTAACTGAAGAATTTTTGTCTGACGACAGGTATGCAAAGCAACAGGCGCAGGAGGTCTAGGGTGGACTAGAAGTAGGATTCAGACTATAAAAAAAGTATAAAATACGTTTATAACTCCTCAGTTATTTACCTATTAAAATGAAACACGCTATCCTTGGACCTTGGGCTTTGCTTTGGTTCAGCTGTTTATCGACTCGTAAAGGCAATGTTTAACTTATAGAAGTAAATTAAATATTTTCAGTGAGACTTATTCTGTATATCATGCATGCAGAGAGCAAAAATAAAACATCTTGGTTTTGCCAAGATGTTGGCACCAACCCTAATTTTAAACAGTCCTTTGTTACTGTGGTTTGGGCTATTTTTATAGGATGCAATATCCCCATACTGTCTAAACTATATTTCCCTGTAATCCTTTAATAGCAACTAATAATTTCAATTTTACTGTAAGAATACCAGTGGTGAGGGACTTGCAGCCATTGTAAAAGGGAAGAAAAATATTTTTTGATCCGTCTCATAAAAAGAGCAAAATGTTATTGAATAGTTAAGAGACTTAGGCAAGCCTTTTTTCACATATCCTTCCTTCTTTCGTCTGCGTTAGGAGAGTAGTGATTGTTCATATTCAAGTGGCTTTTTAGGTGGCGTGCTTAATATGGGTTTAGCTGCCTAGGTCACAGTGAAGGAGTTTCAAAATTGCTAAAAATTAACGCTCTAGCTTGTGTTAACTGTTTGTGTATTTGCCTATTGTCAGTAAACGTCCTTCAGTTTGAGTAGGAAACTGTTCTTCGAAGCACCAGGATGTGAATTAACGTTCTCTGAATTAGACAGAGGTTCAGGCCGCTCTGCTAACTTGGTGTGTAGGCAAAGCGGGATGTTTTGGAAGTGTTACGCTTTATATCCCTTTACCAACAGTGACTAAAACAGATGTATTAAAAAAAAGTCGTCTGTGTGCTCCCCAAGACAAGCCGCCAAAAAGATGGTATTTATGACTGTTATAACAAAAAATCGGAAAAAATAACCTTCCAGTAGTCGGCACTGGGGACAAGAAAAACGCCGGTCTATCTTCAATCCCCCTTCATCAAGGGATTAAAAACTGGGTAGGCTCGGACTGTGTGTCTTTCGCACCGTCTGGCCGCCGGCGTGGCCGAAGGACGCGCGGAGGAGGA